CCCATGGCGGCGGGAGTACCGTCGTCGTCACAGCCCTCAGACGCAAGACCCGACCGGCACCCACCGCAGAAAGAGAGAGAGGCAGCCCTCCGCTCCCGTTTTATAGAGAGTGCGTGGTATCCCTCCGCCGCACGGGCCTCTGACGTGACATTATCCCTCCGCGGGAACGCACCTGGAAATAATCCCCCGCCACACCACTTAGCACAGGAGCAGGGCGGATGGGGAGGGACACTCGGAGGACGGAGATAGCGAACGGCTAATAATGAGGATGTTCGGGGGGTTCCGCCTCGGCTACAACGCGAAGATTTTCGAAAATCACCAGAACTGAGCGGGGGACTGACGGAAGTTACCGATCAGCGGCACTGGTGACGGAAATGGCCGAAGGAGCCTTCGGGGAGTAACGGAAGTTGCCGAGGCCCCTACTGACGGAAATGGCCGATGGAATCTCCGGGGAGTGACGGAAGTTGCCGAGGCCCCTACTGACGGAAATGGCCGATGGAATCTCCGGGGAGTGGCGTAACTCTCCATTAGTACAAACCCGCCAGCGCCCCAGCAGCCTGCAGCCCTGCGTTCGCACCGTGCGTAACTCTCCATTAGTACAAACCCGCCAGCGCCCCAGCAGCCTGCAGCCCTGCGTTCGCACCGTGCGTAACTCTCCATTAGTACAAACCCGCCAGCGCCCCAGCAGCCTGCAGCCCTGCGTTCGCACCGTGCGTAACTCTCCATTAGTACAAACCCGCCAGCGCCCCAGCAGCCTGCAGCCCTGCGTTCGCACCGTGCGTAACTCTCCATTAGTACAAACCCGCCAGCGCCCCAGCAGCCTGCAGCCCTGCGTTCGCACCGTGCGTAACTCTCCATTAGTACAAACCCGCCAGCGCCCCAGCAGCCTGCAGCCCTGCGTTCGCACCGTGCGTAACTCTCCATTAGTACAAACCCGCCAGCGCCCCAGCAGCCTGCAGCCCTGCGTTCGCACCGTGCGTAACTCTCCATTAGTACAAACCCGCCAGCGCCCCAGCAGCCTGCAGCCCTGCGTTCGCACCGTGCGTAACTCTCCATTAGTACAAACCCGCCAGCGCCCCAGCAGCCTGCAGCCCTGCGTTCGCACCGTGCGTAACTCTCCATTAGTACAAACCCGCCAGCGCCCCAGCAGCCTGCAGCCCTGCGTTCGCACCGTGCGTAACTCTCCATTAGTACAAACCCGCCAGCGCCCCAGCAGCCTGCAGCCCTGCGTTCGCACCGTGCGTAACTCTCCATTAGTACAAACCCGCCAGCGCCCCAGCAGCCTGCAGCCCTGCGTTCGCACCGTGCGTAACTCTCCATTAGTACAAACCCGCCAGCGCCCCAGCAGCCTGCAGCCCTGCGTTCGCACCGTGCGTAACTCTCCATTAGTACAAACCCGCCAGCGCCCCAGCAGCCTGCAGCCCTGCGTTCGCACCGTGCGTAACTCTCCATTAGTACAAACCCGCCAGCGCCCCAGCAGCCTGCAGCCCTGCGTTCGCACCGTGCGTAACTCTCCATTAGTACAAACCCGCCAGCGCCCCAGCAGCCTGCAGCCCTGCGTTCGCACCGTGCGTAACTCTCCATTAGTACAAACCCGCCAGCGCCCCAGCAGCCTGCAGCCCTGCGTTCGCACCGTGCGTAACTCTCCATTAGTACAAACCCGCCAGCGCCCCAGCAGCCTGCAGCCCTGCGTTCGCACCGTGCGTAACTCTCCATTAGTACAAACCCGCCAGCGCCCCAGCAGCCTGCAGCCCTGCGTTCGCACCGTGCGTAACTCTCCATTAGTACAAACCCGCCAGCGCCCCAGCAGCCTGCAGCCCTGCGTTCGCACCGTGCGTAACTCTCCATTAGTACAAACCCGCCAGCGCCCCAGCAGCCTGCAGCCCTGCGTTCGCACCGTGCGTAACTCTCCATTAGTACAAACCCGCCAGCGCCCCAGCAGCCTGCAGCCCTGCGTTCGCACCGTGCGTAACTCTCCATTAGTACAAACCCGCCAGCGCCCCAGCAGCCTGCAGCCCTGCGTTCGCACCGTGCGTAACTCTCCATTAGTACAAACCCGCCAGCGCCCCAGCAGCCTGCAGCCCTGCGTTCGCACCGTGCGTAACTCTCCATTAGTACAAACCCGCCAGCGCCCCAGCAGCCTGCAGCCCTGCGTTCGCACCGTGCGTAACTCTCCATTAGTACAAACCCGCCAGCGCCCCAGCAGCCTGCAGCCCTGCGTTCGCACCGTGCGTAACTCTCCATTAGTACAAACCCGCCAGCGCCCCAGCAGCCTGCAGCCCTGCGTTCGCACCGTGCGTAACTCTCCATTAGTACAAACCCGCCAGCGCCCCAGCAGCCTGCAGCCCTGCGTTCGCACCGTGCGTAACTCTCCATTAGTACAAACCCGCCAGCGCCCCAGCAGCCTGCAGCCCTGCGTTCGCACCGTGCGTAACTCTCCATTAGTACAAACCCGCCAGCGCCCCAGCAGCCTGCAGCCCTGCGTTCGCACCGTGCGTAACTCTCCATTAGTACAAACCCGCCAGCGCCCCAGCAGCCTGCAGCCCTGCGTTCGCACCGTGCGTAACTCTCCATTAGTACAAACCCGCCAGCGCCCCAGCAGCCTGCAGCCCTGCGTTCGCACCGTGCGTAACTCTCCATTAGTACAAACCCGCCAGCGCCCCAGCAGCCTGCAGCCCTGCGTTCGCACCGTGCGTAACTCTCCATTAGTACAAACCCGCCAGCGCCCCAGCAGCCTGCAGCCCTGCGTTCGCACCGTGCGTAACTCTCCATTAGTACAAACCCGCCAGCGCCCCAGCAGCCTGCAGCCCTGCGTTCGCACCGTGCGTAACTCTCCATTAGTACAAACCCGCCAGCGCCCCAGCAGCCTGCAGCCCTGCGTTCGCACCGTGCGTAACTCTCCATTAGTACAAACCCGCCAGCGCCCCAGCAGCCTGCAGCCCTGCGTTCGCACCGTGCGTAACTCTCCATTAGTACAAACCCGCCAGCGCCCCAGCAGCCTGCAGCCCTGCGTTCGCACCGTGCGTAACTCTCCATTAGTACAAACCCGCCAGCGCCCCAGCAGCCTGCAGCCCTGCGTTCGCACCGTGCGTAACTCTCCATTAGTACAAACCCGCCAGCGCCCCAGCAGCCTGCAGCCCTGCGTTCGCACCGTGCGTAACTCTCCATTAGTACAAACCCGCCAGCGCCCCAGCAGCCTGCAGCCCTGCGTTCGCACCGTGCGTAACTCTCCATTAGTACAAACCCGCCAGCGCCCCAGCAGCCTGCAGCCCTGCGTTCGCACCGTGCGTAACTCTCCATTAGTACAAACCCGCCAGCGCCCCAGCAGCCTGCAGCCCTGCGTTCGCACCGTGCGTAACTCTCCATTAGTACAAACCCGCCAGCGCCCCAGCAGCCTGCAGCCCTGCGTTCGCACCGTGCGTAACTCTCCATTAGTACAAACCCGCCAGCGCCCCAGCAGCCTGCAGCCCTGCGTTCGCACCGTGCGTAACTCTCCATTAGTACAAACCCGCCAGCGCCCCAGCAGCCTGCAGCCCTGCGTTCGCACCGTGCGTAACTCTCCATTAGTACAAACCCGCCAGCGCCCCAGCAGCCTGCAGCCCTGCGTTCGCACCGTGCGTAACTCTCCATTAGTACAAACCCGCCAGCGCCCCAGCAGCCTGCAGCCCTGCGTTCGCACCGTGCGTAACTCTCCATTAGTACAAACCCGCCAGCGCCCCAGCAGCCTGCAGCCCTGCGTTCGCACCGTGCGTAACTCTCCATTAGTACAAACCCGCCAGCGCCCCAGCAGCCTGCAGCCCTGCGTTCGCACCGTGCGTAACTCTCCATTAGTACAAACCCGCCAGCGCCCCAGCAGCCTGCAGCCCTGCGTTCGCACCGTGCGTAACTCTCCATTAGTACAAACCCGCCAGCGCCCCAGCAGCCTGCAGCCCTGCGTTCGCACCGTGCGTAACTCTCCATTAGTACAAACCCGCCAGCGCCCCAGCAGCCTGCAGCCCTGCGTTCGCACCGTGCGTAACTCTCCATTAGTACAAACCCGCCAGCGCCCCAGCAGCCTGCAGCCCTGCGTTCGCACCGTGCGTAACTCTCCATTAGTACAAACCCGCCAGCGCCCCAGCAGCCTGCAGCCCTGCGTTCGCACCGTGCGTAACTCTCCATTAGTACAAACCCGCCAGCGCCCCAGCAGCCTGCAGCCCTGCGTTCGCACCGTGCGTAACTCTCCATTAGTACAAACCCGCCAGCGCCCCAGCAGCCTGCAGCCCTGCGTTCGCACCGTGCGTAACTCTCCATTAGTACAAACCCGCCAGCGCCCCAGCAGCCTGCAGCCCTGCGTTCGCACCGTGCGTAACTCTCCATTAGTACAAACCCGCCAGCGCCCCAGCAGCCTGCAGCCCTGCGTTCGCACCGTGCGTAACTCTCCATTAGTACAAACCCGCCAGCGCCCCAGCAGCCTGCAGCCCTGCGTTCGCACCGTGCGTAACTCTCCATTAGTACAAACCCGCCAGCGCCCCAGCAGCCTGCAGCCCTGCGTTCGCACCGTGCGTAACTCTCCATTAGTACAAACCCGCCAGCGCCCCAGCAGCCTGCAGCCCTGCGTTCGCACCGTGCGTAACTCTCCATTAGTACAAACCCGCCAGCGCCCCAGCAGCCTGCAGCCCTGCGTTCGCACCGTGCGTAACTCTCCATTAGTACAAACCCGCCAGCGCCCCAGCAGTCAGCCCTGCGTTCGCACCGTTCGTAACTCTCCATTAGTACAAACCCGCCAGCGCCCCAGCAGTCAGCCCTGCGTTCGCACCGTTCGTAACTCTCCATTAGTACAAACCCGCCAGCGCCCCAGCAGTCAGCCCTGCGTTCGCACCGTTCGTAACTCTCCATTAGTACAAACCCGCCAGCGCCCCAGCAGTCAGCCCTGCGTTCGCACCGTTCGTAACTCTCCATTAGTACAAACCCGCCAGCGCCCCAGCAGTCAGCCCTGCGTTCGCACCGTTCGTAACTCTCCATTAGTACAAACCCGCCAGCGCCCCAGCAGTCAGCCCTGCGTTCGCACCGTTCGTAACTCTCCATTAGTACAAACCCGCCAGCGCCCCAGCAGTCAGCCCTGCGTTCGCACCGTTCGTAACTCTCCATTAGTACAAACCCGCCAGCGCCCCAGCAGTCAGCCCTGCGTTCGCACCGTTCGTAACTCTCCATTAGTACAAACCCGCCAGCGCCCCAGCAGTCAGCCCTGCGTTCGCACCGTTCGTAACTCTCCATTGGTAACAGCCTTCTTCAGGTGGTACAGGCGGACACTTGCAGGGGCAGGGCGTGTACAAGATGTAACTCCTGCAGCCAGTTGGTTGGCAGAGACTCAGGAGGTCCAGTCCAGCCCCCGCCCAAAGCAGGACCAGTCCCAGCTAACTCACCCCAGCCAGTGGTACAAATGCAGCCCTGTTAGTCTGGTGCAGCTGAAACAAAAACCAGGACTGTGCTGCACTTTAAAGACTAACAAGATGGTTTAATAGGTGATGAGCTTTCGTGGGCCAGACCCACTTCCTCAGACCAGGGTCTGGCTCATCACCTATTAAACCATCTTGTTAGTCTTTAAAGTGCTGCACAGTCCTGTTTTTTATCCCAGCCAGGGCTTTGTCAAGCTGGGACTCGAAAACCTTTAGGATGCAGATTCTGCCACCTCCCTAGGTAACCCATTCCAGTACTTCACCACTCTCCTAGTGAAATTGTTTTTCCTAATATCCAACCTAGACCTCCCCCACTGTAACTTGAGACCATTGCTCCTCTATCTGCCACTACTGAGAACAGCCTCTCTCCATCCTCTTTGGAACCCTCCACCCCCCTTCAGGTAGTTGGAAGCTGCTATCAAATTCCCCCTCACTCTTCTCTAAATAAGCCCTGATCCTTCAGCATCTCCTCATAATCATTTTTGTTGTCCTCTTCTGGACTCTCTGCAATGTGTCCACATCCTTTCTGCATTGGGGGAGGGGGCGTTACAGAATTGGATGCTCATGCTGATTCTAGAAGCCACTCGTGCTGCGACTCTGCATTTTAAATGTAGGCTCTCTCTATATTTAAAATGCAGAGGGTGCAGTGTCCTGGACCAGCGTGAGCTGGGACTGCTCGGTTTGGGCTCATGCTAAGCCCCTGTTCGTGGCATTCCCCACTCTATCCATTTCCCTGCTCCCCCCCACTCCCACCCCGTCCCCAGTTTTTAAGCTGGCTTCCCCCCAACACCACTCCTGCATCCACTTCCCTGTCTCCTCCCCTCCCCTCCCCCTTGCTGCCTACACCAAGCCCGGGCCACCAGAGTTGCTGTGAACAGCTGGCTTCAGCTGTGACATTTGCCTGCTGTGTGGCAACTGCTAGAGCTGAAGCCTGCTGTTTGCAGTGGCTCTGATGCCCGGGGCTTTTGGCAGACCAGTAATAATGAATATGCAAATCAAATGTTACTGGTCTGCCAAAAGTTTGTGAATGGGTTTGCTAGTCCATGGTATAAAAAAGGTTGGGAACCACTGGTTTAGATGCTTTTCTCAAATGATCAAAGAAAGAAGTTTGGCATCCTCCATCCTCATGGAAAAAAATACAAGGTTCAAAATGGATTGAAGCACCAATTGGCATGGTCATGTCTTTCTAGGATCAACCACAGTTTGGTCTTGAGACAAACATGACCATCCACAGATTGTTGGTTTGAGTACTGAGTCATTAAATACACTCTTTTTAATCCGTTTAAATCAGCAAGCAGGAGATCTTGATTTAAATCCATCAGTTTTAATCTAATTCTGTATTTTATTTTTTAGTTGATTCTCACTGTCTGGTGACTGTTAAAACATGCTGATTTGCAACTCAGTATAGCCTTTATACTAAATTTGGTGCTGCTTTTTGTTAACCAGCAGAATATGCTATATCTATAAATTTTTTGCTTAAGAGGTTAAATGGCTTAACGTGTGTGTGTGTGTGTGTGTGTGTGTGTTTTTCTTTCTTCTATTTGAATCAAGCTCTGTTTGGATGGAAATTCAAGATCTACACAAAAACCGCCTTTTAATATTGTTTAAGAAAAAGTTTATCAAAACCATGTTTTTAACAAAAGAACTGTTATCTGAGGCTATGGCTACACTACAAAGAAAAGTCGGAAAAAGATATGCAAATTGCAAAATGTACTTTGCGTATCTTTTTTCACTTTTCTTTCGAAAGAGGCTTTTCCGAAATTTGGTGTGTCTACACGATGCCATTTTCAGAAAAACCTTCTCTTTCGAGCCATCCCTTCTTCCTCATGAAACAAGGTTTGCAGGTATGGCAAAAGAACACGTCTGCTTTTTTGGAAACTTTTCCAAAAAAGCAGATGCATTCCTTAGATGTGGCATAGCTTTTCTGGGATATCTCTGGTATCCCGGAAAAGAGCTGCAGTTTAGATATAGCCAAAAGTTAATGAAGTGAACTGATTGTTGCTGATCACCATTTCCTATTTAGAACTAGTAGATCTCATTCTCATTTAGTATTTATTCATAGACTGGAAGAGGAAAGCAACAGGCAAGCTTGTTTTCTTAACTTTGAGTATACTAGTCATTGAACTGAACTAGTTGAACAAACCGAAATAAAACATGTATTCTTTCTCTGCCTGAAAAGGCGGCACTGTAGTCGAAAGCTGGGGTAGCACATCAACAAACTCTGGTTCCTGATACTTAGCCAGCAATTTCCTCCTGTTCTGTTGTTTGGCTGATTTCAAACTTAGTACAAGTGTACTGATTAGTATTTTTTATTGATTTTTAGCAGTTAAGCACTAATATAGATGTTAACTTCAAATTTGATTTTAAAATATTTTTTTTTAAAATATGCTTTTATTTAAATATTCAAATTTATTGATGTTTATCTATCCATCCCCATAGAAATATCAGGAAAGATCGTAACTGCTCAAATTTAATGCACTAACTTCCCCTGTATTAATTTTCAGCGCCATGCTGCGACTACCTGCTGTCCGCAGGGCCTTAGTTGGTGTCACTCAGTCCACAAAAGGATGTGGTGAGTCTGCCTGCATTTTATACACAAGTGCATGAGAAGCCTTTCCGTACTTATACAATGTGGTACCATGCATGTAAAAAATGTTTATTGAGGTTGTTATAAAATCCAGAGGAAATTGTATATAGCCCTCTTTTTGCTAGTGGTGTTCAGATTGTATTAGCTATTAGTTACCTGTATTTATAAAACAATTATAAGCACCATCACAGACCATGGAAGCATTTATGTAGCCTGAAATTAAGTGTTAAATACTGTGAAACATCATGCAATAAACCGCTTATAATATGGCACCCATTATTATTAAGATTAACTTGACAATAAAATCCTCAACCTGCATGATTTCCAAATGCATGGAAGGAAAAACAATTGGTATGGTTGAAAGGAAACAGAAAGTCAAGCTTTACCCGAGCCCAGAGAGAAGTGAATTCCACAACCAAGGGGCCTTATGGAGAATGCCCTGTCTGTGGCTTCCTGCCATTTAATGCCACTCTGAATCATCTGAAAGAAGAATGTCTTGATTGTGATTGGTACTAATGTCCTTTAAAATGTCTATCATTCTGCAGCTCAAATGCACTGGGTTATCTAGAGAGCGACCTTCTGCAAGAGATGTAGAAACATTAATCCACTTCAGCAGTCTGAATGGCTGAATGTTTACAGGAGTGTTACATTAGCTACACTGACTTAGCCCCCTCTCCTTCAGAATTTGCCATATAAAAAAATTGCAGTTATCAAAGCAAAAAGAGAGCATGCTAATATTTTATGTAGCATGCATTTAGAAAGCCTTGGGGGGAGGGAGAGAGATGCAGATTTAAGGTATAATATAGCACTTAATCAGTGAATTTATGTGAATGGTAGGGGAGAAGAAAAATAAATTATTTAACTTGCTTTTAAAATGGATGTTATCTACTCTCTGTAATTTTGAACGTGAGAGAGGGGAAAAAAAATAACTGAGTTTCACAAGTGATACCAGCTCTAGGAAGTGTCCACTTTGTCTTTGTTGGGTTTTTTGAAATTGTCAACTTAGATTAATTATTGCAGTATGTATTTTTGCATAATGATCATAGATAAAATACTGCATCAAATCTTGGACCAGGACTCAGGAAGTTCAATTCCTAGATCTGTCATAATTTGTCTAGAAACAAGACAGGTGAGGCAACATTTTTTGTGGTAGGTCCTCCTTTTGGCAGAGGTTGGACCCGATGACCTCCTGAGGTCTTTTCCAACCCTATGATTCTATGAATTGAAGAAATAATATTTTTAAAGTTTTTGGTCACTTTCTAACTCATAATAGTTGAGGACATAGCAATGCAAAATGTGCTAGATTAGATACGAGGAATAAGAATTTTAGATAAATTAATGGAACTCTGGTTAGGGTTTTTTTTTATTTATTTTGATACAGCTAGTTTGGAGGTGTCAGAATTATTACTAAGCATCATCTAAGAAATGTATGTACAGTAATCCTGTTAAGGGATTTTTAGGAGTCACTTACATTTTCTTTTTTTTCCCCCTTGTATCTTTAGTGCGTACAGCCACCGCAGCAGCCAGCAACCTGATAGAAGTGTTTGTTGATGGGCAGCCTATTTTGGTAGAACCAGGAACCACAGTGCTTCAGGTAGAAAAAGTTCTAGAATAGCCTCTGACTACTTTGCCCCCTCTCTCTACTTTCCTCCCCCCAGTTTGAAACAGCATATTTATTCATTCTGTTAGACTTCTTGTAACTGAACACTTTGCATGTCTCATGGCCATTTTGTGTAGGTGGTCTTGTTGCCCATCAGAGAATATGGGGTAATTACTTGTAGGGGAGGCTTTACATTTGAGAAAACAAAATCTGACCTAGCTTGAAAGGAAGATTGCACAGGAGGAATTCAAACTGATAATTACTGCAGGTTTATAAATAGATCCAGAAAAGTTTTATCTACATTCTAAGTGGTGCCAGTAAAGCAATTACAGGCAGTCCCCGAGTTACGCGGATCCGACTTATCCGCACTTACGAACGGGGCTTTCTCACCCTGGAGCTCGCAGGCAGCGGGACTGCCCAGAGCGCAGCGGTCCCACCACCTCGACCTCTGGGGCGAGAAAAGCTGCTCCGGGTGCCCCTGGTCTGCTGGGGACCGTCTCCAGCAGACCAGGAACACCTGGAGCAAAGCCGGGGAGGCGGAGGGGTCTCGTGCCTCTGAGGCTTTGCTCTGGCAGGGGCTCTCCCGCGCGGGACGCCACTGCCGCTGCGGCTTTTGGCCCCGG